GCGTGGGGAGTGCTGGTGGAGAGGTTTGACAGAGGCTCCTGTGGCATTCTCTGTAGCTGGTGAGTTGAGCTGGGGGTTCCCACTGCTGCAGGACGTGCTTACAGCTAATACCCGTGTGGCCGTGTTGGAGCTGCTCCAGTGGCACTCAGCAGGCAGAGAGCACAGCTGCGAGCAGCTGGGAACAGAGGGAGACCATCCTGGGCCTTCTGAAGGGGAAAGGGAAGTGGTGGTCAGGGGACCTGAGTGATGTCTAGGGGAAAGCAAATCTTTCAGAGAAGATAAAGCAAGATGAAGTTAATTCTTACAAAGTGATTGAGACAGGAAATTACTATCTTAAAAAAATTAAATACAGGAATTGTTGGGGAAACACGTACTTAGGACAGTGATGGGGTGTGGCTGGGAGCCCTGGTGAAAAATCTGTTGATTGAAGATCTGTCCACACAGTTTGTTCATGCCTGTGGCATTGAGATAGAAGCTTGGCTTTGCTACATTACCTGGCAGAATGGAAAACATACTGCATGTAGGTTTGTGCTATACCAAGCTTATGCTTCCTGCAATGGCTAAGGGGGAGGTAAAGGCTCCTAGAAAGCAGCTCTGTGTACTTGCTCTGTTCTCAGTCTGGTTTTCCCTGAGATGGGCATTCTGTGGTGTTTGTATTATAGCTACAATTATGTTGTAACAAGGAGAAAAAAAAACATTAAGTGAACCTAGCAATCATGATTTGCTTTTTTAGTCATGCAAAATTACTGCTTAGCAACTGCAGATCAGACCTGGAAAGCTTATGTAATGTATGAGAATGGAGGTTTAGGAAACACATTGTGGGTAAAAATGATTGCTGAGCAAGCCATGTGAGGAAAGAGCTCCCCGTATTCTGCCCCTTGCTGAGAACAGCGGCTAATGGCCAAGAAGTGCCAGCAAGGGGACATGGGCAGCCAGGCTGGGATGTGCTGGCAGCACCTCCTGCAGGGACATCAGGCTCCTGGCTGCTCTAGCTGGGGCCAGGAGTGCTGGCACCCGCTGCAGAGCCGTGGTGCTGACAGCATCCTTGTGCTGGCCTGGTCTGCTCCTTGCACAGCGCTCCTTGTGCCACCTTCTGTGCTTCAGTTTGACAGCAGGATCCATGAGCTGCCCTAATTCCTACTGCTGGCTCTGCGGTCAGAGTGTCGTTTGTTCTTATCGGAGCTCTCCCAAGTGTGATGTCAATAAGCTGCTCGAGGAGTTTAAGAGCTTTTGGTTGGTATCCTTTCCTATTCCTCCTGTAAGCATTGCGTCTCAAGGACGCACGCAGCTCCTTGTATTGCCCAGGTCTGTATTGCTCCGCCTCGGTGGATTGTGGAAAATGATTCTTGGGATTCTGGGACCCCTTGATTAATGTATTTCCTGAGGCAATTAAGTATTGCTTGGAAAAAAAAAAAGCTTGGCAGCCAACCAGGATTCATTTCCAAGCACTGCATTGTCTGTGATTTTATTTTTTCTTCCTTGCTACAGATTTTACAATTTGAATGTAGAGCTTTTGCCTCTTTTTCCATGCTTTACTGCTGCATCAGAAATGCAAACAGAATTGCCCAACTATTAACATGATGCATTTTTTTGGATGAATATTCATTTGGTGGCATACCACAAGGCCTGCTGGAAGGATTGCTTGCTGAAGCCAGGCCTTAGCACAGCCGGGGGAAGCAGCCATGGGCCTGCAGGGTGCTGGGGCCTGCTGCTCTCCTTCTGGTGGGAGGGAATCCCCCCCCACAGTCCTTCATTCCATCTGTAGCGCTGGCAGTGGATCTGGCCTTGCTCCGAAGCTGTCACATTGGTTTACTAATAGTGTTAATTAAGAACAAAGCTGTTTTGCTGTGACACCTGCACCTGAGTCTCCTTCAGTCCTGGGCAACTTTAACAGCCAGCCTCGGCCCGGCTAAACGCGACCTGCTGCGGTTTGCTGGAAGGGCAGCAGGCGGCCCTGAGGGGTGCCCTCCTGCCTCAGTGAAGGCAGTGTGGGTTGGTGGGCTCTGTAGGTGCTGCAGGCATTGCCCAGGCTTTGTGTGTTCCCAGGTGGGAACACAGGCTGTGGCCTTTAAAACACAATGCTCTTTGACACCTCTGCATAGATGTGGCTGTGGTCTGCCAAGGAGATGAACTTCATAATGGGACTAATTTGAGAAATAGCTGTTGTTTGGACTGGTTCAGCTGGAGCTCTTTATTTCAATTCCAGTTTCTTCTGTGCTGCGTTTGCTCCTGCGTTGCTTATAGAATCACGTAATCATGAAAGTTGGAAAGGACCACTGAGATCATCTAGTCCAACCACTGGCACACCCCACCCTGCCCACTAACCCATGTTCCCAAGTGCCACATCACAGACTGTGCAGCCCGGCGCTCAGTTCCACCTGGACGGGCTGCTGGGCCACAGAGCCGTGCTGGCTGCAGCTGTATCCCAGCACCTTGCTGTTGTTATTTTAATGCGTTAGTTGTGGCCTTGCAAGTGTTTCTTCAGTTGAAGACATGGTGTTGGTTTTTCTGCTTCCTCGGTTACAACTTGTAAGCTTGCTGTTGTCCAATGAAGCAAACAAATGTGTCGGAGATCTTCCAGCCTGCAAGGGGGCAAAATCAACCTAAAGCGTGGCAGGTGAGAGGTGCACAACAGGGACTGCAGGAAGTCAGCATTTTCTATTAATTACCAAGAAAACACGGTACATGCGCTGGCAGAGCTCGCAAGGCGAGTGATAGGAGTGCATGTTCTGGCATGCAGTCAGCAGCTGCTGGGGCACACTGACAGGGCAGCGGGGCTGTGGGACCGAGCAGAGCTCACTGGGGCCTCTGGGCAGTCAGCAGTGCTTCCTGAGGTGAGATGGATGCTTTGCAGAGCGCTGCTGTGTGTGCTTTGCCACTCTGTAGTTTCAGAACTAGAAGAAAAATAAACTCACCTCTGTGTGTTTGCTCAGTTAATGCTGGCCATGAAAGACTTGCTGCCATGCTAGGTGCCATGGGGCTCCCATGGGGTCTTGGAGGCATTTGCAAGTGGCAGATATTATCCTGGCTGCATGGGGAGTATCTGGGGGCACGCCAGCAGTGACAGAGTGCAAAGGCTGTGCCAGTGGTCTCCTTGTGAGCCAGCACTCTGAAGAGCTCGTGTCCTAACAGAACTGAGGGAATATAACTATTCCTTCTGGACTGAATAGGTGAAGGTAACCAACGAAACACACTGCCCACACCACCGGCTCCCTTAATCCCAGCTGTGTGGTGGGGCTTCCCCAAAGCATCTGAAGGAAAGCTCTGAAGTCCAGCACATGGCCAAAACGTGATGCCCCTCACAGGAGTTGAGCAAGCTGCCTGCTTTGTGTAGAGCTGGAAGTAACAGTCTGCCCTGCAGTTACTCCAGCAGAGAGCCAAACCTTTTTTAAAAATAGTGTGTTCAAACCTGTAAGTGTGAACACCTGGAGATGCCCCTTAGGGTAAGTGCTGCCTGCGGTCCCACTTGGGAGAACTGCTGTATGATGTGGGATGCGAGTAAGGTGATACCGGGCCAGGCCAGTGGTGCTGATGGAGTTACAGAAGATGATTGGTATTCTTTAGATTAACCTCAGCCCCACATCCCCCATTGCGGCCTGCAGGCTGGTGGCAGGGTGCCCGTGGGCCGGCGCATTGCTGGCGGTGCTGCCGTGCCTGCAGCAGCTGCACATCGCCCTCCGCAATGGGATCAGGGACAATGGGAGCCGCAGGTGGAACGCAAGGCTGCAGTCATGGGGAGGTTTGATGTGAGGGTGAAATGTAAGCATGGAGGCTGGGTGTTGGTTAGTGGGAGGGAGTGTGAGAGGGGGAGGGATTTAAGAACAAAATACACATAAAAAAAGAAAATTAAGGCATCCATCATGGAGCAGCTGGCAGGCAGCACAGAGGACAGCTCTGAGAAATACAAATACAGCTGGTGTCACCCAGAGGCGAAGCTGGGAAAGCTTTATGTGGGAATGCTTTCTGAAAAGGGATGCTCAGGTCACCATGTGTGGTGGGTATGGCCAGGCAGCAGCCCATCTCCAGAGAAGGTATGAGGGAAGTGCAGAAGGATGGGCTGTGCAGTGCTCCCCAGGACATGATTGCAGCCCCCGTGGTTCGTGGCTATGGGGTTTTTTGGCAGAGCTCCGTGCTGTATGTAACAGAATGAGACTCATTCACCCAACTGCCTTCTGCCCTTCTCCAGTCCATTTTACAAATGCCACCAAAGCCCTTTCTCTCTCTGGCTTCTCCTCTAGGTTTAAAGGCTGTACTCGCACCTCGTATGGTCTTTGTTGTTTTCTCCTGTGTCTTTTCCATACCGCCCTTTGACCAGAACTATGAGCAGCACTCAGGACATCATGGATTTGTGCACCTGCCCTGCCATGGAAGACAGTCTCATTTCCCTACCCTTTGCCTTTGCACAGCTCAGTAAGTCCAGAGGCATCTATGGGAAGGTTCTCCCTTTCACTGCAGTTATTTAGGTTAGCTTGCAGCTCTCAAGACAGGGGCTCTACCCTGTGCCTCATAAGCACCCCAAGAGATTCTAGGTGATGGATATCTCTTGAATGTATTTATTCACTGCTCCAGAATTCCACCCATGAAGCAGAGGGAACAGCATCCCAGTGCCCGCACACAGCCGGTACGTGGTCAGGGTGCAGCAGGAACAGCAGCTGATCTGTTTGCCCTGGGAAAAAGGAAATCCCAAACTGGGCAAGCTGCTCCGGTCACAGAGTGATGTGTAGCCTTGTTCCCAGCTAGGGATGTCTGTTGTGTGGGGTTTTGTTTTTAACCACAGCTCACAGTGCCGCTCAGAAAAAAAAAGGCTTTTGGTGACCGTTAGGAGCCATCTGAGCGGTGCAATGCATTGTGCTGCCATTCCACAGCCGATGCGGCGGCCCTCAGCTGTCACGGCTGGAACAGGTGGTGTAAGGCAATCCCTGGGCAGTCGTGCTCCCCGCCCCCCGGGCCGACCTTAAAGGCGCTGTGTGCGCCCCGGCACGGCGGTGCTGAGAGGAGCGGGCTCAGGTGATGGAGCTCTGCCGTGTGCTGCTCCTGATCTTCTCCGCAGGTAAGTGGCACATTTTGGCAACCTCCTTGGGCTGGGTCCTCCCCGCGGGTGTGGGACTAAGGCTTTGCATGGGTGTTAGTATGAAGGTGTGATCTGGGAGCAGCTACAATATTTCTACTTTCAGACACCAGATATTTTGCAGTGAGGAGTTTGTTTTCATGTTTGCCATCTTTATGCCATGTGCCATTTACACTTATTCAAAATTTATTGCAAGATGTGTGGGAGGCTCTATCAAATGTGGCTTGACGTGCAAAATCTCATCAGCTGTGTGTTGACAAGGACACACAGTTGTTTTGCAGCTGGTTGTGTTGTACCAGGACAATTCTCTGTAAATCGTTCTTTAGAAGAATAATGACCTTGTTCTATGATGCTAGACCCTTTTCACTAAATCCCAGAAGTGAACTGAACTCCTGCCCAGCCATCAGAAGGCAGCAGTGTGAGGGGCTTTGGTTGGGCTAATGAAGCATAGCACAAAACCTGGCCTGACTGCCATGCTGCTCTAACAGCATGGGGAGGGAACCATGAATGACAAGGGGGCTTTGCAGAGAGCAGGATCTGGCTGGCCGCAGGTCTGCCTATGTGCAGCATGTCCCTGCGACAGCCCCGTGGTGCATCCCACCCCTCCCACTGATGCCATTTTGTTGCACACAGCCGGGCCGGCCCTGTGCTATGAGCACGAGACGCGCCTGGTCGACGACCTGTTCCGGGACTACAACAAGGTGGTGCGCCCTGTGGAGAATCACCGCGATGTCGTCGTCGTCACTGTCGGGCTGCAGCTCATTCAGCTCATCAATGTGGTAGGCAGTGGGCAGGCAGAGCCGCCGCTTTGCGTGCTATCACCAAATGGCGTCGTTCTCCTCCTTTAATCCCAATGCTTGCTTCTTGTGTTTCCTTTCTCTTTGTTTTTTTCCTTTCAAGGATGAAGTAAATCAGATTGTAACAACCAACGTACGCCTCAAGCAGGTAACCCTAAATATTGCTCCCATTCTTCCCACTCAAGTTAATAGGGACAGCCAGGTGTGAGCTACTTTTGGGGCACTCTGGACCAATTGGATTGAGTGTCTTAAACTGATATTTAATTTAGTGTGAGAACAAAAATGAGCTGGAGGGCCAAATAGGATGTGTTGATACTTTCCTGCACAAAGCAAGGAGGCAAGTGTCCCTAGGAAGTGTCAAGTGGCACTGGAAGAAGTTCTCAGCAGCTGCAATCCTCCCTTTGCAGCAATGGACAGACATCAACCTGAAGTGGAACCCAGATGACTATGGTGGCGTGAAACAAATCCGCATCCCATCAGATGACATCTGGCGCCCGGATCTTGTCCTTTATAACAAGTAAGCAGCAGGGAGCAGAGCTGGTGGGACCAGAGCCTGGGCAGTGGCTGCTTTGCCTGCTCAGCCTGGCTGCCCTCAGGCCACCGGGCAGCTGCAACCATCCTTCTTCCTTCCGCAGTGCGGATGGTGATTTTGCCATTGTTAAATACACCAAGGTCCTTCTGGAACACACAGGAAAGATCACCTGGACACCTCCTGCTATCTTTAAAAGTTACTGTGAAATTATAGTCACATACTTCCCGTTTGATCAGCAGAACTGTAGCATGAAGCTGGGAACGTGGACGTATGATGGTACAATGGTGGTTATCAACCCGGTAAGCAATAATTTGGTAATTGGAAAAAGCAGCAGAGACTTGGGTATGTTTTTAGGCACTTCTCTGGTTTAAAAGGGAATATAATCTTGGTGTGACTGAAGAACAAGATACTACCAGTATAATGTAAAAGCTCCATTTGTAAGTGTCGTACAAAACTGCCCAGTTTGACTTGTAAAATTCTATTTACACTTACTTCCCATGCTTCTTCTTCCCCAAACATTTTGCCTGCCTATCCTTTTTACAACCTTATGCCACTGTTTCTGGTGGTGCCCATTCTGCTTTTGTTTTCCTTGTTGTGTGGGGGTGATTTTTCTCTGCTCATGACTTTTCTTACTTTCTGCCTCTTAGGTATGTCTTCCATCTGTAAATATTTAAGTGGTCTTTCCTGTTAGCAGAGTATCCCTAACTCCTTCTATAAAATATTTAGTTGAACCTGGCTCAAAGGATGATGTAAGGAAAAATTACATAAGAATAGATGTTCAAGTCACAAAAACGCACAAAGCACGTCAGTGATTGCAAATTCTGTTCCTGAGAGACCACACTATGTGAGTTTGTTCAGAATGTCTAGTATGAATAATGCTTTGGCCTGTGGTGTTGTGTTTATTTGCTGTCAGGAGAGCGATCGCCCCGATCTGAGTAACTTCATGGAGAGTGGTGAGTGGGTGATGAAGGACTACCGTGGCTGGAAGCACTGGGTTTACTACGCCTGCTGCCACGACACTCCCTACCTGGACATCACGTACCACTTCCTTATGCAGCGCCTGCCGCTCTACTTCATCGTCAACGTCATCATCCCCTGCCTGCTCTTCTCCTTTCTGACAGGGTTTGTTTTTTATCTACCCACAGATTCAGGTATGTGAGGTTAGTCATTCTACTGCCGTAGAAATTGCTCTTCTAACAAGTTCTGGAGAAATTTGGAGTGCTTGCAGGCAGCAGCCAACTTGAAGGCCTGCATGTGCTAAACTGGTGCTTCAGCTCAAAACAACAGCTGTAAACATTCTGCAAATTAAACTGAAACTATTCACATGGACAAATTGGGTGGATTTCCCATGGAAAACGCTGGTTAACTATCCAGTTGACTAATGCAGAGCAAAGATTTGGCTAGCTGATGTTCTGATTTTGTCCCTCAGCCCAAAATGTTTGGATGTCAAACAGTACCTGAGCACACTGTGTTGGAGCAGAGACCTTGTGGTTAGTGCACACTTGCGAGCTCACTGACACAGAGTAATTCTGGCCTCTTCTGGCCTGCTTCATCTCTGCTGAGCAGTTCTGTTGCAGAAAGCTTGTGCTCCCTGCAACCATTTCCTATGCTTTATTCATTTTACATTGGCATCAGCTTTTCACCCTGCTTAATTGCGTTGAACCTCTTCTGTGGAAGACCTCCAATTCACAGATTTTTGGTGGAGAACTTTACATGAAGTTGAAGCAGATAGGAAAAAAACTCTCCGCCTTCTGGTTCAGTTCTGATGCCCTACCTACTGAAAGCTGATCCCTGGCGCCAGATGCACATTTTGTCAGCTCAGGTTGTGCTGAGGCAGCCAGCCCCAGGAGGCTATGGAGTCATTAACCAGGTGCATGCACCTCATCAATCAAATCCCACAGTCCACGGGGTGCTCCTGGCAAAGAAGCTTTTTGCACACACCACCTGTACGTCAGTCCAGTTGTACCTGGTGATTTCTATGCCAGTGCAGGTGCTGGTGGTGTGTGAGGGGCTCAGGTCTGGCCAGATTCAGTACTGTTTTGGGAGCTAGTAAAATAGGAGCATTCTGGATTCATGAAAAGCACATGTGTGTGAATAGCCATCGTCCACAAGCAAGCTTCTCAAACTAAGCACTGAATAATATCTACATACCCAGTGATGTTGTCTTCTTTTTGCATTGCAGGTGAGAAAATGACCCTCAGCATCTCTGTCTTGCTGTCACTGACTGTGTTCCTGCTGGTCATCGTGGAGCTGATTCCTTCTACCTCCAGCGCAGTGCCTCTGATAGGCAAATACATGTTGTTTACCATGGTGTTTGTCATCGCTTCCATCATTATCACTGTCATCGTCATCAACACCCACCACCGCTCTCCCAGTACTCACACCATGCCACACTGGGTCAGGAAGGTGAGCTCCAAGGCTTTGTGTTTCTTCTTTTCCACAGAGTAGCGTGTGTTTTGTTGGCAGATTTTCTCCTCAAGGTCAGCAAGAATTAAAGAATCATAGAATTCTGTCATAGAATTTCTTAGATTGGATGAGACTTTAAGGATCATTGAGCTCCAATCCCCTGCCATGGATAGGGTTGCCTCTCACCAAACCAGGCTGCCCAGGGCCTCATCCAACACAGGGAACACAGGGATCGGGACATCCACAGCCTGGCTGCTCCTTTATGTGACAAAACTGCCCACTGGATAGAGCCTTGCAGGGAATGGATGAGGCAATACAGGGGCAGCTGATGGTATAGGGAGAGGAAAGTAGGTCAGTTGGGCTCAAGTGATCTTACTGGTCTAATGATCTCTGTGACTCTAGGACACTTCTGCCTGCCAGAGGACAGGCCCTTCAGGTCATGCAAATTGCATTGTAATAGCGAAGTCAAGCAAAAGCAGCTAAGAGACACCCCTCAAAGTGCATTGCCTAAACCAGGCCCCTAGGGTGTGTGTCCCAAGTTGGATGGGCTCAGTCAGCTGGCAGCAGTGTGAACCTGACCAGTGGTGGTACAGCCCAGATTTGTATGTATAGAATACACAGATAGGCAAAGCTGCTTTTGGAGAGCACAAGGCAGGCCATGGGGTGACCCTGCCTGCCCCAGGACATGAGGCAGACAAAAGTACGGTGTAAATGTGGCACATGGCATGACATACTCCAAAGTGGAATTTCTAGTGAGTCCAGGAGAGGAAGTTATCTGCGACTGGCGTAGCTCCCCTCTGTTTATTGCAGAGCTGCATCTGCACAGCAGCCCCTCCAAACAGGAGTATTCCTCTTCTGCCTCTTTTTTTCCAGATCTTTATTGACACAATCCCAAACATCATGTTTTTCTCTACAATGAAACGACCATCCAGGGATAAACTAGACAAGAAAATTTTTGCAGAAGATATTGATATTTCTGAAATTTCCGGGAAGCAAGGTCCTGTGCCTGTCAATTTCTACTCCCCACTTACCAAAAATCCAGATGTGAAAAATGCTATAGAAGGAATCAAATACATTGCGGAAACGATGAAGTCAGACCAAGAATCCAGTAATGTAAGGCATTCTTTTTGCATGATTCATTTCTTGCTCTCATACTGCTACATCTTTTTTTTTTTTTTTTTTTTTTTTTTTTTTTTTTTTTTTTTCCAGTTACCCAGGCATCACAAAAACACTCCAAATCTTGTTTTGGCTTTAGCAGGGGACAGTCTCCTGCCTGTGGTGTGGTCATTAAGGAGTAACAGATAATTGTCACAAGTGGTAAATGAATCTCAGTTTGAAAACAAGGAGAAAGAAAAGTGGTTTTCTTAACAGGGTGTGTGAAGCCACAGAGATGGCACATGAGTAGCAAAGCAGTTTGTTACCAGAACTGTAACCAGAACTGTAACCAGAACTGTAACCAGAACAGTAAACAGAACTGTAACCAGAACTGTAAGCAATTCCATAACACGTTCCTCCTGTCCCCTGCTTGGGCATCTTCCCACAGGGATAAGGGCCTTCCTTGCTTTTGAAAAGCCAGAAGGTAGCACAGCTGCAGAATTCAAACGTAGTTTTATTTGAGAAACCTGAAGTGTGACTTGCAGATAATAATTCCAGTTTTGATAAGGATTTGTGTCAATCCATGTATGCTACAAGCAGTCCCTGCAAGTGAGACAACACATCATGAGTTGCTGTGATTACTGACTTTTTCCACATTACAAGTCAAAGGAAGGATAAATGCGTGCAGAGTCACATATGGCAGTTTTCCACAGGAAAGCCTAGCTCTGCCTCCTCTGAGCACGTTCAGTGCAATTAACCCCCTCTTTCATTTCAATTTTTGCAGCTCACACAGCTTGTAAATGGATAACTCAGGATCAGTTCTTCACCTTTCTTATTGCTGTTTAGCAGCGGATGCCCAGTGGTGACAGGCTGCAGGTGGGGAGGGACCTCTGTGGGACAATAATCCGGCCTCTCCTTCACCCAGGCAGAATTTACACCACAGTGTTTGTTCCTGTGGCCACGTTCCAGCAGCGTGTAAATGGCTCCGGTTGGAGTCTCATGTTCCCGGTGGCTCCTCTGCAGATCAAGTGCTACCTTCAGCAGGGCTGGCATGGTTTCAGTGCCTCTGGGCTCTGCTTCCTTCTGCGCATACGAGGAGGGTCTTTGGTTACTGGCAAGTGCTCCCATCGGAAGTGGAGCCAGCTGTTTGTGTCATCTAGACTTTACTGATATCACTTTCAGAGGAATTCAGAAGTCGCATTCCCAAAATAAACCAAAGGCCGTGGCTTCTGAAGGCTGTCACAGCATTGCCTTTGCTTACAAGTCACCTCAAAGCACTCCCGATTAGCAGTCTACTCTAGATGGATTCCAGCAGCTTCTTCCACTTGTGGTGCACCTAAGGCAAAAGTAGAGGGAGATTAGGGATGGGACGTGTTGGTCCTTAGAGCAGAGTTACAGGGTGGAAATGTGCTCTGGCCCAATCATATTCATAACAAATGCAGCTCTGCAGAAATCTTACTGTCTCCTTTCTTTCTTCTTCAGGCGGCTGATGAGTGGAAGTTTGTTGCAATGGTGCTCGATCATCTTCTCCTCGTAATATTTATGCTAGTCTGCATTATTGGAACATTAGCTGTATTTGCTGGTCGCCTTATTGAATTAAATCAGCAAGGATGAACATCAAATGGAAACTATTCACTGCCTGGGCTGGGACTGGAAAGCATCTTAACTGCTAAAACCTGGCCAGCCATGGAAGTTCCCCTGGGACCGAGCAGAGATACTAAAATGTGCTTAGCACTTCAGAGCTTCTGCTTGGTGCTGTTTCACTGCCAAAATGACACGCTTGCTCTACTGCTAGGCTGAATGGCTGTCAGCCAGATTTGGGTCCATTTTACCATTTATTAGGAATGTTAACATGTTAATAAGACCATCTGACTTTGTTATCCACAAATATGATTCTAGTGACATCAATAGCAATAATATGTTCTATCTGAGCTGCAAATCTGTATTCAGCTTTAGAGCAGCTTTCAAGCTGGTTTCAATTATCTGCTCTGTGGTTTTTGTACTGGCAGTGCCACAAATGCTTCTTGTAACACAGGCTGTAGCCAGCAGAAGTGTCTCAAGCTCCTTGGTAAAGCATCTGATTTCTGTGTACAAATCAGAAGTGATCGACTCTCATGTGTCAATCTGCAATCTCTTAACTTGCAGAACTCTTGGTCCAGCATAGAGGGAATGTTCCTTGTTGTGAAATGGATCCACTGCTGTTTCTTGCTATGCAGGCCCAGGGTAAAGGACACGTTGAAGATTTTTCACCCTTCTTTATCATTGAGCTCTGCTCTGTGGCCACACAACTGTCATGCAGACTGAGAGCAAGCCTACCTCAGTGTCCCTCTTCACACTGAGCGATGAGCATTGCGAGCAAGTTTTGCCTTTGGGGGTGCTCAGTACTATAACTTAACCGCACCTCTGCTCCCTGAAAAGCACCTCCTGCCCTGCTGGAATGCATTATGAGCAGCAGGCCGGCACGGCACAGCACTGCAACGACCGCTTCCGATGCAAGTGCGTATGACGAAAGGATCGGACCTCCCCCCACATCCGCCGATTCAACCGAGCTTCCTTCAAACGTTGAGCAGCAGCTCACTCTAGTGACAAAAGCGGGTAGTTGCTTTCGCCCAAAAACTTCTGATACTGCAATGGTGGTGGTTGGTTATTTTGTCTTTTGGGTTTTTTTTAGTAAATAAGACTAAAAGTTTTTAGTCAACCCAAGGAACAAGCCTATGTCTGTTTCACTAGTACAGTGTAGAAGTTCGAGTAGTTCTGCCTATTATTCTTAAAAACAGATAAGCACAAATGAAGCAAATGATACAAATCACCCATCTTTCCAAGCTCGCTGTTCAAACCAGGACTACTCTGCTGTCAATTGCTGTGTGTTTAATAAAATGACATGTTTTATGTTTGTGCTCTACAAGAATGTGTCGTGTCTGCAGAGGTCAGGCATTTGAAACCCTCAGTGGGGGAAATCAGGCAGTTGAGTAACATTTCTGTTCGTGCATAGGGCAGCTTGGGAATGTTTTGCTGAGCTGCAGTCCTCACCAAAACACTTTGTGCAGGTCGGTCAACCACTTGTAGCACTCTGCTCACTTGTAGCACTGTGCTTGGCTCTTTGGGTTTTGACTTTGGTAATCTTTGCCTCCCTGGATGATCATTAACGTAAACAATGGCTGGAGATGCGTGCTGAGGTAAACCCCTGCTGACAGATGAAGAGCTTGCTGCAGCTCTGCTTAATTTCAGTGAAGCTTCCTTCCAGCCCTTGGATGAAGCTATGGAGCTCACAAGCTTGTCAGGAGCTGAGCTGTAGTGTAGCAGTGCCTGTGATGCTGCTTATGTTGGGAGATGGTGATTGGTACTGAAGTGGCAGGACAATCCTTTTAAGGGAACCTATAGTTGAATTTTGGAGTTAAAAACAAACAAGTAACAAGATCTGTGGGTAAGTAGCTGCATTACCTCTGTTAGGTTTCCTTGAGGCATCCCTTTGGGTAGTTGTCTCAAAATTCCATCTGTGTGAGTGTGTGCTCACGACTCTAGCTCTGGCTCCCTCTACACACAGCTAGCTGCCATGTTGTAGTCATTTCCTTTCCCTTCCTCAAAGAAACTTCAGAAATTACTTATGTAAAATTTTACATATTACCTATGTGAAAATTTTTATTTGTGATAGTTTGTTCTGTCTTAGAGGCACAGTAAACCTCCTGCCTTCCTATCACACAGTCTTGATGAACTGGGCATGTCTCAAAGGTGTGGCACTGAGGGGAAACAGCAAATACTTTCTCTTCCTGGGTAGCAGAATCTGTCCCCTGCCTCTCTGTGCAGCCAGTCCTCCAAACATCAACAGGGCACCCCAGGGGGAAGCTTACATGCACCTTTTTTTTTTTTTTTTGCTTTGAATACTCAGATTGTGCAAGCCACCTTTCATGTTTGTTCTATCTCACCTTCATGATAACGTTTCTCTTAGGTATCACTGATAGCCTCTGTTATTAATATCCATCTACTGAAACACCCTTACCCGCATGCAGTCTGTCTTGTCTGCTACTGTCCTTTTCAAGTGTCAGCATGCCTATGTATCTGTTGGAACAGTACATTTGGAGCTTGTAGATGGGCTGTCTCAGCCGCTGTCAAAGCTAATTTGCCATTTATGCTTAAGTACATGTTGCCTGACAACTTCTCATTTGCAGCACTGTAGCCTCTCCCTGCCCCTGTAGCACTGAGCTGTAGGCTCTTCCACTTGTGTCTCACCAGAGCTCCAGGCAGGGGGCCCTGGGCACCACCTGGGCAATCACGTGTTGCTCTGCTGCCCCATGGCCCAACAAGCAAATTTAAATTTCAGATCTGAGCTTCAACTAGCAACTCTACTGATATGTGGCTTCACTGATTGTGACATTTCTCTAGTAAGTGCAAGAAGTAATGCCATCCAAGCGTTGTGGCATTGCACTGAGCAGCCCCAGTTTAGCTGAAGGTTGGTGTTACCTTCTCCCTCTTTTAGCTGCCAGTTTCCTGCTGCTAGAAGTGGTTTTGTTCACTTTGATCTTGTGGATAGCACCCTATTTATAGCCTTAATAGAATGGCTCTCTGGAACATCTCCATCTTCTTAACTCCGATTCTCTTTGCAATTTTTTAACAGTTTGGCAATTAACTTTCCCCTTCGCATCCCTTTAGCTGACCTTCAACTACTCTCTACTGTATCATCGACAATTCGCCCTCCGAGCTGCAGTCATCCCAAATTTCTTTCCCCTTTTGTACTTGCACAGCTTGGGAGACTTGACTCTTCTGAGGGGGTTAGTTGAATTTTTAGAAGTCCATTACCTTGTACCGGTTCCAAGGGAGTAATTTCACCTCTGCATGAGTCCGTAATCAGAACGGGCTGCTGCTCTCTATCGGCACCAGGCAGATGAGCCAAATGTGGTGGCCTTGTTCTGTCTGTTCAGCCAGCTGCATCTTGGCTGCTCAAAGCATAACTGAGCTGTTAACAGAGCAAACAGAAAAATGACATTTCCCAAACTCTAAATGCTTGATTGTGAGCAGGCATCTGCCAGATCTGATCATTCCCCCCACACTTACACTTCGGGTTCTGCTACCTCTTTGCAGTCTGAGAGTTTTTAAGCAAAGGGATTATTTATTTTTTCAGGCCACCATAAGAGAATGTAAGTACTTGTTTTCCTGCAGGCTGTGAGCTGCTGCCAGCCCCCTCGCTGCAGCCCTCTCCCCATGAGAGCAGTGTGAGTTTCACCAGCACGCTGACTCAGCAGTTCCTGTTTCCACAGCTGAAGCAAACCACAGGGGCAGGGGACAGCAGGGTGAGAGCATGAGGTAGGCCTGCAGAATGCAGAACATTGTGCTGCTGTTGGGTGAAGGACATATCCTACACCCCTGGAAAGTTTGCTTTCTTGTATGGTAGTGTATGAGATGTTGCCTTTGAAGTCATCAGCAGTTTGGCACATCAGAAATGTTTGTGAGAGCAGCCACTTTTAAAAGTTTGCTGTATGCGGTCTCAGTTACATACCTTGTGTTTTTATATGCTAACTAGGGCTGGATAAAGTCTAGTCTAGTCTGGATAAAGGGCTGTCAATTCCTCCCCACTTAATTTTGTTCCCTCCCTGAAAAATGGTTGTTGTGTGTTTTGTCCTCATTGTGAAACTGGAGCAAAGTCTCCCAGGCTTCTCTCATGAATGAGGTTTAGATACAGGCTTGCAAGAGAGCTCTGGAGCACCTTCCCCTTTCTGGAAATCAAGTCTCAGCTACAGGCAATCACACCCTGCTTTGCAAAAGATTCTCTAAGCAATCACCCTTCAGTTCCTGCTGAAGGATAAAGGGCAGGCATGACTATGGAGAGCAACCAACCTGCATGGATTCATTCCTCAGGGCCCTGCTGAGTCCAGCTGGGCTGCAGGGGCTACCTGCAGTGCATCTGATGGAGCTGAGCAAGGATGGGGGCAGGTTCATATGTTACCACAGTGCATGCCAGGCTGACCAGCGATCAAGACTGCAGAGGAGCTCCTTGGTTATGGCAGCAGTGTGAGGACCAATCACTTGGTGGGCTCCACAAAAGGAGAGGACACTGTCCTTCAAGGGCTGTTACTATGTCCCTCACTCCTGTGCAGATCTTCTTCACAGCTGGCAAACAAGCATATCTGGGTGAGCTCTTCTTTGATATCCCTTACAAAGCTTGGAATAAACACATCAATGATATTTCTTTACTACCTAGCCAAAAGGAAACTGCTTGCCTGTATGTGACTTCAGAACTGTTTTCAGCTAACCAATGACCCGAATGCAGGATGCAGCATTTAGGAACCCCATGTGGATTTGTGAGCCCCTTTGGAGAACTTTAGGTCTGTGTTTCCATAAAGGCAGTAAGCGTAGACTACCTGCAGCTTTCCCATTTGTGAGCTCCATAATTTTTGCTTGCAAACTAATCTAGGTCACGTACGTAGGGCAAAGGAGGGTAGAGGAAAAAGATAAAACCACGGTACCTGTTTTTTTGTCTTGTAGTGCCCCAAGCATGCAATGACACAAAAACAAAGACATGACCTACATAAAAGGCTGGCAGTGTTTGAAGTCTTACACCAAATGCAAATCAGCAACGATTTGGTGAGCACATCTCACCTTAACACTGTCTTTGCACCTTGTAATCTCTTGGTCAAAAACAAAAAGCAGATCGTAAGAGGTTGGCTCAGCATGCAGATTGCTCAGGCTTTGACCTTGCTGGAACATATTGCGACAGAGAAATTAAGAACAAACTCCAGTTTTTCAGGACACCTGTCCATAATATCCTGTTTTAGACAGCGGTGTTATGCAGCTGCTGAACTGAACTGTGGTCATGCACGGGCTAAATAAAAACCATGAAATGCCTCCAAGATGTGAAAGGCATGCAGGATGAGTAATGGCTCCAGCAGGCACCCACAGCTACACAGCTACAGTCCTGCTGCCATGCAGAATACACCCCTATCCCTGAGCTGCTCCATCGCCTATGCTTTGCTCATTTTTTTCATTCAAGAGTTCAGCACTGCACCCAAAGACATTAACAGAAGTTTTCTTTCTAGTTAGGTCACACTTAGAAGGAATAGGAAACAGCCTCTATCACTTGCCTGGCAAATCCATTTCTGTGTGAGTTAATTGAGATAAGAAGCACAGATCCCTTTGAGGGCATCATGCGGAGAGAAGTAATTGACCTTCCCACACCTCTGCATACTGCAGGTCTTAATAGGGATGCAGCAAGTACCTCTATTCACTGTTTAATGACGCCTGCACTCCTCTGCCCGTCCCTGCCGTGCCGCGGCCGCTCCCCAGCCTCGCCGATCGCCATCAGGGCGGCAGGGCACCGCGGGAGGCGACGGGGCAGCTGCGACTAGCGCTCGGCCCCCACCCCGGGGAGCCCGCAGCGCCGGCTGCCTCGCAGCCCTTTCCCCGTCCCCGCGCACCCGGCTCCGGCCTGCCCGCCGCCCTCCCGCTCTCCGTCCGGGGCCGGGGCCATGTGCAGCGCACGGGGCTGCGGGGAGCGGCGCCCCAGAGCCGCGGCGCGGCGCTTCCTGCCGCTATAAATAGCGCCCGGCCCAACATGCCCCGGCCGCGCTGCGGCTGGAGTGCCGCCGGCAGCCGCCGCCTCGCCCGACGGAGCGCGGTAAGGGGTGCGGGGAGCGGACCGGGCAGGGGCTCCCCGGCGGCGGCCCCGCTCGGCGCCCCGGGGTAAACAAGGCGTGGCGAGCCGGGAGCCGAGGCTCGCTTCGTGCTTGCTCTCTCCCTCTCTGTCTCTTTTCTTCCAGACTGCTCTGTCTCGGGCTCGGACGCGCTCTGCCTTCTGAAGCTGTTCAAGCTCTTCCTCTGTGCGCCCGGCTGGCATCCCTCCCCGCTTTCCTCTGGCTTTCCTTCGCTCCCCGGGTTGGAGAATGGCGTGGGACGAGGCCGGGCCTCCGGGAGCACCCCGGTCCCTGCGGGCCGTGGCTCTGCCCGGCCCCGGGGGCGGCGGGTGGTCGGTCCGGCGGCGGAACGGCTGGGGGCGGCACCCGGCACGTGCCCCGAGCTGCTGCACCCTGCGGGGTGACATCGCGGCCGGCGGGTACAGCGGGAGCTCGGAGCGGGGGCAGTGCCCGAGGGTCCCGCACACAGAGCGGGCCGGGGGTCGCTGTGGAGGAGCCGGGCTTGCAGACCTCACGTAAGCAGTCCTAAAGTGTTAGCTTAGCCCTCCTCCAGGCTGTGTGGCCCCGCTGCCCTGTGGTTCCTGCCTCTCAGGAAAACCCCTCCTGTAAGGCAGGGCTGTCCCTCCTCTGCGTGCACTCCTCGTTGCTACCACGTGCTCTTCCTGGGCCTCGGCACTGAAAAATGGCACAGAGCTCGCCTCTGGCGCTGAGTAGCATGTGCCTATCCAGAATCTGCAGCGAGGTAGCTTCAAATTGTTTCTTTATTTTTGTGGTGTGCTGTCAAAGAAAGGGTTGTTATCGGGGGCTGCTCTTGGCCTTCCTGGTCTCCAGAGGGTGGGCAGCACGCAGGGTGTGAGGGGGGGGCAGAGTGTGCTGCCCTCTTCCACCTCCATCTTTCCCTGTCCACAGGCAAGGCTTGGATTTTGTGTGGAGATATTCTGCCCTCACCACCCACAGGCACCCAGCTGAGCAGCCCTGGCTTAAGGAATGGTGTGAGAGGCAGCTGTGCTGGCAGCATGGCTGAGGGGAAAGCTGCCTGATCTCACGCACTGGGCAAAACGGTGCGTGGTGCTGCTGCTGCTTCTGGAAGAGCACGGAGGATCTTCTGCTGCGTGCTCCTCTCTGCCAGAGCAGGGCCTGGAGTGCGTAAGGAGGAAATGCAACTGCTGCAGAGCACTTCTGCCCGCTGTGCTGCTGGAGCACGTGAGGGGAGGGAGGGACAGGGCGGTCCAGGAAGAGTGCAAGAAGGCAGGGAGCGGAGAGAACATGCTTACATGCACATCATTTAAGGGTTGTTTAACAAGAGTGACGGCAGCAAGCCTAAGACTGGGAGGTTGTATTTCTGAGTCTTTGTTACTGCTCCTCCTACTGCTTTTAGCTCCTCTGGTGCTATGTGTGTCCTGGGCTCCTCAGTACCCTCTGACTCCAGCAGAACATTGCCCTTAGCCCATCCGTGTGCATGGGATTGCCCTGCAGCCCCTCACATGGAGACTAATGTTCCTGCAGCTGCTTCCTTAAGAATGGTGAGGGATGTGCTGTCCCTAGCTGGTCTCTGGATGCAACTGGGTGTACTTACACAGCTCACGGTGGAGCTGAGGGACTGCTATCTCTGTTCTCCCTTATCTCCTTCTGCTGCTCACCTGCCCTTGTTCTGTGCCACAGCTATCTGTGGGTGTGCTGACAGGTTCAGCAGTCCAGGGTAATGCTGCCCAGAAAGGAGATGGGAGGAGGAGTGGCTCTCCCAGCCTGGGCTGCCTCTTGCTCTGACAGCACTCCTGTCTGTCTGGCTGACACTGCTGCTTTCTAGCTCTACTGAAATTGTACTTCTTACAGCATTGCATTGCTCTCTTGATGGCAACAGGCAGCAAGATGTTGTCTGTGGGGCTGTGTGCTACAACACTGCTGTAGCTGTTGTTTCTATTTTCTTATATTTTTGAGAAACCTGGAGTCATTACAACACTGCATTGGGATATTAATGCTTTTTCGCTTTTTCTTATGCAGCAGAGGCAGAAATGGAAATGTTCCTTTAGAGGAGTGAAAGGAACAGTTTCCTAACTATAGCCTTCGCACCAGATGCCTTCCAGCCTTCTCAGTGAAGGTTGCTGAGTGGCAATGCTGATAGCTTTGTGAAGGAGCTGCTTTTCAATATTGCTCTCCATTACTGACAGTGCAATTAGTTTTAACAGCCATTTGCTTTCTGGTTCACTTGTGTAAACACCAGGCTTTTCTTGGCGGAGGAAAAGAGAACATGTTGGTGTTGTCTGATAAATGTGACGTGAGGACAGAACTTCATAGGTTTCCTTTCACAGCAGCATGTTGTTCTTGGGATGTACGTGTGTATATAAGTGTGTGTATATATATTTATATACACACAGTGGTAAAATGTCTCTGCACAGCCATTAGAAATGTTCTAAGCTCTTACTATGCTAAATCTTATCTAGATAATTGACATGCTTAGGAACCATGAGAAGTAAGGAAGCAGTGGCAAGGGTAGGGGAATTTCTTTACGGTTTGTGCTCTTGCCAACATGAATGTCTTAATTGTGGCAAGTTCACAACAGTATGAAACCTTGTGAAAGTTCAAATCTAGTGAAATGCTTCTGTGTTCTTTCTACAGACTTCTCTTATTCTTGGTTCTAATGCAAATGCTTTTTCTTCATGTGGTGCACTCTGACACTTGGCCAATAGCATCCACTGCCATGAAGGATGGGCAGGTCTCCTGGTTTAAAACTCGTGGCTCCAGCTGTGTTTGAGCTGGATAGGGTGGAGGCAGTGTTCCTTATGTGGGGAGAAAGGTGGGAATGTTGGAGGTAGCCACAAATCTTCAAGAGAGCTGTTTGCTTTGGGTGCTGTTGACTGTGTAACTACCTGCATTCTCGTTAGCTGCTGGCCTCACAGGTGTACATAGAAATCCATCTGTTGCTGAGTAATGACTGTGGAACTGTTGGTCAGCAAATACCCCCAAAAAAGGATGGTTTAAAAACAAAATTTAATTAAAAAAAAATCATCAGGATTGGTTTAAAATATTTTGGATGCTGTCAGTGATCAGTGTGGTGGTGGTGGTGTGCTTTTGTGTAGTATCAGCTCCATGTGTAGTTATATGTAGAAAATGGATAAAGTTGGTGTTCTATTGTGACTCCTTGCAAGTAGTATACAGGTGCTGCTATGTTGTGGGTGAAGTCTGAATGGGAAAACGATGACATTTTTCGTGTGGAATTAACCCTGGAGATGAGGGCTCTGACATGCACAGCTGAGCAGCAACAGCAGGCCTCCCAGAGCAGCTGTGCTTTGATTCCCTCCAGTGCAGGTCACTGCAGTGCAGTGCCTGTAGGCTCAGACATGGGCAGTGAGGGTGCAGTTTCATTGAAATTTGAGATCAAAGGCATTCGGAATAGAAAGCTTCCTTGTTCCTGAAAGGAGATGGACAGGAAGCACAAGTAGCACTTCGAGAATCTGTTTTGTAACTCTAAACTCTGCTGTAACTCCTTTAGGAATCATCTACATTTGTATCCAATCACACGTAAGTACGCTTTGGAGTTTAAATGTTTCTCTTTGTACCTTAAATTACTGCTGCTGCAGAAGCAAAGCTCCCAATGTTTAAGCTGCTTCTGTGGCACCCATGGTCTTTGCTCCCCCCTAGGGCTGAGCCTGGGTGAGCAGCACTCTTGGCTTCCACGCATGTGTTCCCAGAGGGACCTTCTCTGAACTATTAGCATCTCTTCTGCTACAGAAACTCAAGGGAGCTCTTTAATGGGAAGAAATATAGAGGCTAAGATAAATGTTCATAGCAGTTTCAGCAAGCCCCAAATAGCTTGTGCATGTTTCCCTTGTGATAACGTCAGGAAGTGGGTTGATTCCCTCTTCCTACTCCTTCTTAATGTTTTTGGTGAATGCTGTGCTTGAATACTGAGATCTGTTGCTGTGAGGAATAGGCAGAGTGGAGCAGACTATTATCCCCCAGAGTGTATGGGCTAAGTGGTTTCAGAACATCTGAAAATGGCCTTAAAGTGTGAATAAAGGCTTCTAAGAGCAGTGAGCAGAGAAGCACAGTGAGGAAAAATGGCTTTGCTTGAAGCAGCAAGTCAGTAATAGTGCTGGGAAAGGATCAGAAATCTCCTGACTAGTGGGCTGGTGCCATTGCAGCTAAAAGATGTCGTATTTGAACAGAAAAGCTTCTTACCCTGTGCAGCTGCTTTCAGATTACTCAAGAGAATAGCAACCCCCAAAACATGTATGTATGTGTGTATGTGTGTATATATTCAATCTGTCACTTAGTGGGATTTTTATACTAACAGTTAATTACATTTTCTCAGGCAACACTGAGAACATGAGATCTGGAAAAGAATTGTGAAATAAAGACAAGAGCTGCAAAGGAAATTTTTAGAAAGTGATGTTATCCCCAGTTTGCTGCATAACAATTAATCTCTTATTTTTAAGAGAGAATGAGAGCAGAGAAAGCTGTGTGCCGAATTCAAGTTTGGATCTCTCGTCATTTTAAAAAATAAATCACTTGAAGAAAGATTGCTGGTTTTGTTTTCCTAACGTGGAAGCTGAGGAAGCAGATCGGCATTTCAGAGAGT